GGAGGTATTTACCATGGAAACCCCTCTGGAGGAGGGGGTACCAACCAACTAACAGGGGTTGTTGAGGTCGTGGACTTCACACCGATGTTCGCTTCAGGTATTTGGTGTTCGGCACATAAATTTTACACTCCCTCAGACTAACTTGGAAGCCCAAGTCAAAGGGGTCCCGGAGCTTCCCTGTTAGTCTGGGGGAGGTTAGGTGACATGAAGCAACGTATGTGACACATTCGTGGGGGCTCCTCCGAGTTTGTCATTTCTCAGATGGAGACATCGAGGTTCGGGCACATCCGCTTGCTAAATTCCCCACGCTGAACTTGGACGCTGGCAGGCGTGGCAACTTATCTGTTTAGCAGTCCAGTTCTAAGTTGTTCTGGGAGCATATTACATAAGCCAGAATCAATGAACCTTTTTGTCTAACAAACGCGGCCCAAGACTCGTTGTCGGCCCTAGCGCGTCTCGAGCTCTGCCTGAGGTGCCGTGGATCTGGCGAACTGCGCTTGCAACACGCTGGCAACGCCCGAGCTGTCCACGATCCTGGCCTGAGCACATCCCATCCCTCGCGCTTCAAGCGCCGCTTCACTTCTCAGCGGCTCGGCAGCTCGGCGCCGCAACGACACCCCCCAATTAGTGGCTTTTTGGGCAGGGGGTTTGGACCTCGACCTGGAAAACCCGATGGCAGCTTTCCGCAACACCTTGAACTTCCGGCGGAAATTTTGCCAAAATGCCACGGCGGCAAGAAAAGTCCCGCCGATTGGCAAAGAATCAGCCGTGAATCAGCAGAAACGCCCACCGCAAAAGAAAGGTGGACCTATTTTTTGCGTTTTAGCAGCCTGGAGTGGATCAAGATCCATGTTTCCATGTCTCCAACATGCCTGGCGCACATGGGAAGGGAGCCAAGGGGTTTCAGGGAGCCCTTTCGGAGCTGGAGTTCTTGGGATACCCCCGTATCCTTAAAAGATACATGTTGCCCACCACCAAAATAAATGAAACCCACCATTTACAAGGGCAATGTTCAGGTGTATAATGTGAGGATCCCTACTCCAAATACCCCACCTTTCTTCAGTTGGTATGATTTGTCGACCCTTCAAGCTACTAAAAAGGGGATCGGTATCTACCTTGGAAAACCTTTTACGGTTTTCCCCAAAAGACCGACTGACAAAGCGGGTATTTGGAGTAGGGGGGAGCATTACAGGACTTCACTCACCTTCTTGGCATGTGGCCCTCCAAAAAGTGCAAAGTTTCGTGGCCCTCAATGTCCCTTGTCTGGACCTAAAGTGGCGATTTGGTTGGAACCCACAAGTAAACTGCAACTTTTGAAGGGGAAATCCAGTGACACCTGTTAGACATCACCCTTTTCCACCTCTACATTATATATATATATATGTATATACGTACATATATACATATATGTATATATACATGCATACATATATATATATATATACATGTATATAGATATATTATTATATGTTATATATGTGTGCTTTGTTGAAGGCACCTTCTTCCTGGACCTCCCAATGGTAGCTGTCAGCTGCCGAGGCCGCTGGCGGAAGAGGCGGGTGCCCTCGTCCCATGCGACGGATGTTTGGGCCAAAAATGAGGTTTGGAAAGTTACTTGACTTTTGTAAATAGTCAAACTCTTCGGATTCGTCAAGTTCTTCGGATTGTTTGGATTCTTTTGGAAGTCTATTCGCCTTCGCCAAATTCTTTGGATCCAACTCAAAAATGAGGGGTTTGGCTGATTTGGTGAAGTGGTTTCCCCGGAAGGGTCGTTGCCCTAAGGCTCCAGATGGTTTTTGGGCGTAGTTTTCTTTCCGGGCGCTGAGTTGGTCTTGAGGGGATGGTGATTGGAGGGTTCAGGGGCCTGCATTGGAATCATGAGCCGTGTGGGTCTCATTTCGGTTTCGATTGAGCATCTTCCGTTTGCATTTCAGGATATGTGTCTTTCCCCTGGTCCACTAAAGGGAATCAACTTCGTTTCTGGACATCTGTTCCTTGGACTGAAGCATATGAACCAAAGCAAGGTTTGGTGTGATTCCCTCAAGTCGATGGTTTGCTTCCCAGGAATCAGGCCCAAACAACGGTAGTCCAATGCACATGATGTGCCTCCTGGGGTAGCCGACACCTCAGCCTGTTGGGTGGTTTTCGCCATGCTTTCCGTGCATGCTTGCCGAGTGGGAAGAGCTGCTCCGTTTCACAGCCTTCAGAGACGAGAATTCATGAACTGAAGGCTGAGGCACAGCAGCAGTTCAAGTGCGGCTTTCTGAGGCTTGCTTTCCGAAGGCAGCAGCTAGATCTGTCGTCGGTTGCGGTGCAAGATGAAGATATGCCGCCCGCGAGCTACTGCATGCGGCTAGCCTCCACTCGCGGGAGCGTTTGCACTTTAAGTTCCAGGTGGCGCGGCGATGACATGGCGGTGACAGCAGCCAGGTGCGAGAGCAGTTGGTGCGGGTCCAGCAAATCCAAGCAAGCAGAAATGCTTTTGCCGCCATCCTGGACGACGGCTCTGTGGTGACTTGGGGCAATCCTCGCGATGGTGGCGATAGCAGTCAGGTGCGAGAGCAGTTGGTGGGTGTCCAGCAGATCCAAGCAAGCAGAAATGCTTTTGCCGCCATTCTGGAGGACAACTCTGTGGTGACTTGGGGTCCTCCTGACTGTGGCGGCGACAGCAGCGAGAGCAGTTGGTGCGGGTCTAGCAGATCCAAGAAACTCACGATGTTTTTGCTGCCATCCTGGAGAATGGCTCTGCGGTGACTTGGGCTATCCTCGCGATAGTGGTGACAGCAGCCAGGTGCGAGAGCAGTTGGTGCGGGTCCAGCAAATCCAAGCAAGCAGAAATGCTTTTGCCGCCATCCTGGACGACGGCTCTGTGGTGACTTGGGGCAATCCTCGCGATGGTGGCGATAGCAGTCAGGTGCGAGAGCAGTTGGTGGGTGTCCAGCAGATCCAAGCAAGCAGAAATGCTTTTGCCGCCATTCTGGAGGATAACTCTATGGTGACTTGGGGCGATCCCTGCTATGGCAAGGTGCAAGAGCAGTTGGTGGGTGTCCAGCAGATCCAAGCAACTGAGGATGCTTTTGCTGCCATCCTGGACGACGGCTCTGTGGTGACTTGGGGCAATCCTCGCGATGGTGGCGATAGCAGTCAGGTGCGAGAGCAGTTGGTGGGTGTCCAGCAGATCCAAGCAAGCAGAAATGCTTTTGCCGCCATTCTGGAGGATAACTCTGTGGTGACTTGGGGTCCTCCTGACTGTGGCGGCGACAGCAGCGAGAGCAGTTGGTGCGGGTCCAGCAGATCCAAGAAACTCACGATGCTTTTGCTGCCATCCTGGCCGATGGCTCTGTGGTGACTTGGGGCGATCCCTGCTATGGCAATGACGGCAGCCAGGTGCGAGAGCAGTTGGTGGGTGTCCAGCAGATCCAAGCAACTGAGGATGCTTTTGCTGCCATCCTGGACGACGGCTCTGTGGTGACTTGGGGCAATCCTCGCGATGGTGGCGACAGCAGTCAGGTGCGAGAGCAGTTGGTGGGTGTCTATCAGATCCAAGCAACTCCTGCCGCTGTTGCTGCCATTCTGGAGGATGGCTCTGTGGTGACTTGGGGCGCTCGTGACTACGGCGGTGACAGCAGGCTGTGAGATAGAATTGCTGGTCTTTTTGTTCATTTGTGGCAAGGTGCTCTCAATGGTAGTGCGTAGCATGTAGCATTGAGGCGCTTGCTTGAAATTTGACAGCGGCCTTCACCAATCGAAGGGCGGCCGAGTTCGCAACTTCCAGGTGTCGGAAGTGTCTGGACCTGGTTGGGCCTGTTGGAAAAACTACCCCCGGAACCTCCAAGTACCCGGCCTTGTTTCAGGCTATCATGTCGACCCTCTGGAGGTATTTGCCGTGGAAAACCGGGTATTCCCGAAAGCACCCTGAAAAAAGTGGGTATTTTCAGTAGGGGGTAACGGCTTTTCCGAGTTCTAAGAGGTTGTAAAGAACCTTTCGGGGCTTGGGGGCACCCCAAAAAAGGCGCAAAAAAGGCCATGCCCCGAAGAAAAGGGCTACCCCCAGTAGTGCCCTTTTACCCTTTTTGGGGGAGGGTTCCCCTACTAGAATAGACTACAGAAAAAATATCGGGTACCCTTCTTCTAACCTTTTTACTGGAGGACGAAGAGGGCGTGTTCAACCGACCTGGGACATTTCAATAGTGTCGAGGGCCGGGAGTGGTATCTGAATTTGATCAGTGATGGGTATTTGGACCAGTGAGTCGCCGGCTTTTTGGCTCTTGTAGAGGGCTGGGAAATCCTCGCATTGGCCCGGGCACTTGGAATGGTGTTGTGAGGGCCAAATTACCCCCTACTCAAAATACCCCCTTTTCTCAGGGTTTTTTGGGAAAACCGGGTTTTCCATGGTAAATATTAGTAGAGGGTCGACATCATACCCTGAAAAAGTGGGTATTGGGTGTAGGGGGTATGTTATGACCATGGAAAAATCAGCCTGGCGCGGGGAATCCCCAAAAGCCACAGTTCGCAAGATGTACGGTCGTAGCTCAAGTTGAAACCCTCCGTTTTTAGTCAGGGGTTGAGATGATACCCTAAACAAACGGGTATTTGGAGTGGGGGGGGATTCTTCTTCACACCCAGAAGACTTCCGAAGACTTGGGGGCCTGAGCAAACCCCCCACAGCCCAAATGGGCTGGTCTTTGGGGGGGGGGGGCTCTTTGAACAGGAACACCGAAATCCCAGTTTTGGGGCATCTAAGAAAAGACACCCACACCTCCTACCCCCTCACCAAATACCTGCTTTGTTCACGGTATGTTTGTGGAAATTTTGGTTGTTGACATCTATTGTTGACGAGGCATACCCCCCCACACCCAACACTCACTTTCTTCAGGGTAGGTCAACCCTTGACAAAAAAAGAAGTTTACACCGGAAAACCCAACAAATACCATGAGCAAAACCGGCATTGGGTGTACCCCCTACACCAAATTCCCGCTTTTGTTAGGGGGTTCCCAGACAGGTTCCCAGAGCTCTTTGCGGCCAAGCAGTGGCGGCCGGCCCTGCATCCGGAAGGTGAAGGACGCGACGTGGCGAAGAAGAGGCGAGGGGGTTCATCTGTGTATAGGGCCTATAGATGGGTTTGTTTCAAAATAGGGGAACCCCCCAAAATGGTGGTTTCCTTTTGGGTGTCCAGTTGAAACCAACCAAAAACGGGCACCGCCAAAGAAAGACCGAACAATATAAACCTTTTAGCGAATCAACCTTGTAACCTTTTGGTTTTCCATTTGGCCACCACTTTTAGAGGTCTCAAAAGGCGATCATCTTATATTTCTAGGTCTGACAAGGGCAGGTGAGGCCAAAACGGGCACATTTTCGTGGCCGGTCAGGGTGTGCCCGAATCCATCAAACGGAGAGACCTCATGGAAAAGTGTTTTTCCATTAAACCTGCACCGAAAGCTCCAAATACATTTTTTTCGGGTATCGGTATCATGTCAATATGATACTAAAAAAGGTACTATGGACACCCACGTGTTTCTGGAGGTTAGACCTTTGCTTGGGGTTTTGGAGCAACCCGCAACATGCAGGAAAAAGAAAAACCCGTTGTTCTTAGGGTATGGTGTCAACCCTTGACCAACAAAGGTAGTATTTACTCCGGAAAACCTGCCCGATACACCCAATACCCACTTTTCTCAGGGTATGATGTCGACCCTCTACTAAAACAGGGACCGGTATTTACCTTGGAAAACCGACAACCGGTTTTCAACCAACAATTCGGACTGAAAAAAGCGGCCGGGTCTTTGGAGGTTACGGCTTCGCTTCGGCCGGGCCCCTGGCTCCCGTTGCGTTTCGACCCCCGAGGCATCGGAAGGCGAAAACTCCCAAAACAAAATCCCGGGATCTCCAGAAATGAGGGATGAAAGCTTGGGTGTTTCTCGAAATTTGGGGGGTTCAAGGCAGTTGGATCCCCCAAAGACCCACCTTTTTTTTCAGCCACTGGAAGCTGACTAGTAGCCCATAATTCGGCAAGAAGTAGCTGGAAAATACAGGCAACTACGGATCCAGATAGTTGGTTTTATGTGTTCCTTTTAAAGCCATCCCAAAAGGGGTCTCCTGTAGTGAGAAACATCCATTTGGTTTGAAAGGGAAACTAATGGGAGATAAAATAAGGCACCCTCAAGATGGGTCATGTCCTTGTGGTTGCCCTTTCAAACCAAACGTGGGATTCCAAAGAACAAACATGTGGATCTGTAGGCTCGTAAATAGTTATCCTTCTTTGGTAAAGGGTTGACATCAAACGAAAGGGATGAATATATGGTGGTGTTGTTACACAGTTGCCCAGTGGCGCCCTTGTTTCCCGTTTTTTGGGGGAAGGGTTCCCCTTGAAACTCAACCAACCAAAAAAAGGATGCCCTTTTTTCCCATGGCCACTGGGCGTCTGTGGTTACAGGGGTGTCCTAGAAGATCTCGGTGCCTCGGTGACCTTTGCCTCAGGCAACTTCGCGGCTTCGCAAGTGAGCCAGTCCCCGCGCATCGAATGAGACGAATCCGACGAAACAACTCGGGCCCGATGCCCCGCACTGGGATCAAGGGCCTGGAGCTTGTGGTAAACGCCACTAGTATCATCCATGGTTAACCCCACACGGGGGGACTTTGTTGGTGGAAAACTTATCATCCACCAGGGTTGGGACTTTGTTTGTGGATGTTTTTCCTCTTCTAAACCCACTTAACGTTGCGTCTTTCGGCGAATCGAGCACAGGAGAGGTGCGCCATGGAAAGCCGGGGGTTGCTCTGTCGAAGCCTTCGAAGGTGCGATCAGATACCTTACCCGCTACTCCGAAGACCCGCTTCGTTTAGTTGGCTAGGTCCCCCAGTAGCGCCCGACCTCTCACCCACTTCTTTTGGGGAGGCTTCCCCTACTAAAATAGACTGCAGAAGAAGAAAAAAAATCGGGGACCCTTATTCTATCCTCTCTACTGGAGGACCTAATTAGTTGGTATCATGTCAACTGTCTAAAAAGGGATCGGCATTTACCATGGAGCACCGATCGGGCTCCCGCCAATACCAACTGAAACAAGCGGGTCTGGGGAGTAAGGGGTACCCCCGTAACCTCCAAATACCCGGCCTTTTTCAGTTGGTATGATGTGGGCCCTCTACTAAAAAAGGAGGTATTCTCCATGGAAACCCAGGTTGCTCCAAAAGTACCCTCGAAGAAGCGGGTATCTGGAGTAGGTGGCAGGTTTCCTTCCGATGTCTCTGCGAGAAAAAACATCGCGGAGGGGCTGAGAGGGAGGCCTTGAAGAGCTAGAATGGAATTTTCGGCACGCGAGTGACACCAAGCAACCGCTTGCTCCAAATACCGGTATGCCCGTTCTTTTCAGTTACTATGCTTGGGAAACCCGGTCGGTTTTTTCCATGGTAAATGCCGATCCCTTTTTAGACAAACATGATGCCAAGTGAAAGCAGCGGGAAAGTCGGAGCGGGCAATCCTAGGGCTCCACTGTTCGGCCTTTGATCTTTGCGGATCCGACGACCATTGGGGGACGATGGAAGTGTTTGCCTCGAAATCCACTTCGCGCAAGCCTCCGGAATCCGAAACCCGGAAGGAACGATTCGAGTTTCCTTTTAGAAAAACAAAAACGGTTCAATCCCATTGCCTAGATCAGCTACTGTTGCATCAAGTTATGATCTTCTCGTGGGCTTCCAGTGGCTGAAAGAAAGTGGCTACTACCCCGCTGTTTGGGGGTGGGCACAACTGTGGGTATTCCGTAACAGGGCTCCTTAAAAGATACATTTTGCAACCATTTGAAACATGTTGTTTTTTCCGTACCAAAATAAATGGAAATGTTAACCACCATTTACAAGGCAATGTTCAGGTGTATAATGTAAGGCTCCCTGCGTAACCCTTGACATCATGGATGGCATTTTTACCGTGGCCGAGCGGTTCTTCCTATTCCCCTGAGAAAAATCGGGGTCTTGGGGAGCTTTCGGGGATTTTCCGGGATTTCCCAAAACCATCAGCAGCATCCGCAGGTCTTCCCCCCAGCTTCAGAGTCTCAGCCCCTTCGGAGTGAGTCACCCGGGTGCTGTTGGGCGCGTTTTCGTGTAGCCCCTTTGACCCCGAAGACCTTTGACCCCTTGGACCAATTTGTGGGTTTGAAGGAAACCCAAAGGAAACCGGCGCCCCTAAAGAAAAGGTCATCCATTTTCCCATACCTCCTGCTCCGAGTACCCTCTTTACCGCAGAAAACCAGGTGTTCCACAAGAAGAAACAGACTTGACTCACTTAGGTTTAAGGGGCCCATTGGGCGAGAAAAGTGGCGGGACTTCTTGTGGCCGGCAAGGGGGGAATTTGGGGGTAAAGTCCTTCAGGCGGACTGGCACTTCGACGTCGTGGCTACCAGGCCTGAGGCGCGGCCTGAAGCGGACGGTCAGGTGGATCCAGGCCCCTTGCGTTTGCCGCACTCCCTGAGTTTGTTGACCTTGCACTTGGCAAGCCAAAAGCTGAAACTTACTTTCTTTGGCCAATCTCTGGAAGTGAGTTGCCCTTCAAAAACGGAACAACAAGAACACTCATGTTCCCTTTGTCCAACCATCACGGAACCGGTTGACCCCGATAAAGCAGAACTCCGGGTCGATTTTCAACGGAACGGTGATTTCCCGTTTTCTCGTGATTCAGACCACTATTGGCGCGGGACACCCCCTCTAAGTATTAAGTGTTGACCATGTTTTGTGGCTGAGTATGGCCTGGGCATGACATCTCCCAAAAGGAGAGAGTTTAGGGAAACAAATGGTTGTCCAAGCCGACCAAAGGACCAACGGCCGTTTGCCTAAAAAAGAGCAACCCAGATGACCGTTGCTTGACCGTTGGGTTGGATCTCTCTAATTGTTGACCTGGAAAATGGTGTGGCCCTCAACCAATTCCAATTGGCCATACACTAGCTAGGTGGTTCCATTTGTTCGGTTGGGGCACATCCTAAACCTCATCTTGGTACCACAGAGCGAGTCAAACCGATTTGGAGAAAAGGATGAGCCCCCGAAAGCTAACAAAAAAAGGGCGGCCAGGTGTTTGCTGTGTCTTCTCTCGAAAACCGACCGAAAATCGGGTTTCCAGCGTAACGGATCCACGGTCGACCTCATCTGAAAAGATGGAGCAAAGGATAGGGGCAGCCCCCCCTTGGAAAACACCATGGCTGCCGATGTCATCCATGTATCTCGAGTAAACCACTCCAGGCAAACAACTTGCACTTGGGTTTCTGGTGGGTCTCTGGTGAAAGTTTTTGTTGCCGCTGGAGAATATGTCTTATGTCCGTCTAATGTTGGGGCTGAGTTTCTTTCTACAGGAAGTAGCCCCGTAACCTCCTGATGCCCACTTCTTCGAGTTGGTACTTTTGGAGCAACCGATCGGGTTTCCATGGAGAATACCGATCCCTTTTTTAGTAGAGGGCCGACCTCATACCAACTGAAAAACGGCCGGGTATTTGGAGGTTACGGGGGCAGAAGTACCAACAAACGTGTGTGGTTTCAACCATGGCTTTTTCCGCGGTGCGAAGCGGATCTCGCAACCATCTACAGTATTTCTTCCATTTGGTTAAGTTCTGTTTTGTTTTACCTTTGTATGTGCTTAAAGGGAACCTATCGCTACTCTGGCAGTATGTTTGTTTTTTCCAGGGGACGTATCTGCAACTGGAGGTATTTGGTAGCGGAGCTTTGGACTTGAGAACTTCTGGGGACATTTTGCTTGCGGACCTTCAACTTTTGCAGAGGAGTCGGCAACAGCGAAGTTTAGAGGTCCCAAATGGCCAAATGCTGTTGGTTTCCCTTCAAATCATAGCCCCCAAAAAAGCCGTAGGCTACCTTCCACAAAAACATCCAGCCGCCGCCGGCCTACTTGTCACGCCCCCTGTGGAGTTTCACCAATGATCTTAAACCCCGGCAAGGCAGGTGGCTATGCGGCATTTGTATTTCCGCAGAACGGCTGAGATTGCTTTGTCGTTTGCGACTGGTGGTGCCATGGAAGCGATGGAAGTGCATGTGTACCTGGCGAGTGGAACGAGCTGCTCTGTTGCGCTGTCGCCGGAGTCAAGTGTCTCAGTTGTTTAGTGGCACCCTTGTCCCTTTTTTTTTGGCTGCCCCACTAAAAATGGTCTTCCCCAAAAAGGGTTCCCTTTTTTTTCAGGGTCACTGAACAACTGAGGTGTCAGCAAGTTGAAGATCGAGGCACAGAAGCAGCTGAAGAGACGCTTCTTGATGCTTGCTTTCAGAGGTCAGCGGCTGGATCTGGTGAAGTCGTTGAGCGACGTGGGAGTGCGAGATGGGGACAGCGTTGACGCGATCGTGCAGCCTGTCGACATGGCTTCCACCGGTGCAGCATTTGCGGTGTTTGTCCCTGGAGGCGCAGTGGTTACTTGGGGCAATCGTGGAAACGGCGGCGACAGCAGCCAGGTGCGAGATCAGCTGGTGCGTGTCCGGCAGATCCAAGCAACTGCTTCTGCTTTCGCTGCCCTTCTGGATGACGGCTCTGTGGTGACTTGGGGCAATCCTGGCGATGGCGGTGACAGCAGCCAGGTGCGAGAGCAGTTGGTGCACGTCAAGCAGATCCAAGCAAGCCGTCGTGCATTTGCCGCCATCCTGGACAACGGCTCTGTCGTGACTTGGGGCCATCAAAACCATGGTGCTGACAGCAGTGAGGTTCGGGAGTGGTTGGTACGCGTCCAGCAGATCCACGCAACCCAAGGTGCATTCGCTGCCATCGTGGCCGATGGCTCTGTCGTGACTTGGGGCGACCCTGAGAGTGGCGGTGTCAGCTACTCCGTTCGCAAACAGCTGGTGCACGTCCAGCAGATCCAAGCAACTGGCGATGCTTTTGCTGCCATCCTGGCCGACGGCTCTGTGGCGACTTGGGGCCTTCATACCTCTGGCGGAGAGAGCAGCCAGGTGCGAAAACAGTTGCTGGGTGTCCAGCAGATTCAAGCAACTCACAGTGCCTTTGCTGCCATCCTGGACGACGGCTCGGTGGTGACTTGGGGCAATCCTGCCTGTGGCGGAGACTGCAGCCGGGTGAGGGAGCAGTTGGTGCGGGTCCAGCGGATTCAAGCAACTGAGTGTGCGTTTGCAGCTATCCGGGCTGACGGTTCTGTAGTTACTTGGGGCACTCCTTACTTTGGCGGTGACAGCAGCCAGGTGCGAGAGCAGTTGGTGGGTGTCCAGCAGATCCATGCAACGCAGTCTGCTTTTGCTGCCATCTTGAACAACAGCTCTGTCGTGACTTGGGGCTATCCTCATAACGGAGGTGACAGCAGCCATGTGCGAGAGCAGTTGGTAAAGGTCCTGCAGATCCAAGCAACTGACTGTGCTTTTGCTGCCATCCAAAGCGACGGCTCTGTGGTGACTTGGGGCGCTCCCTTGGCTGGCGGTGACAGCAGTCAGACTCAGACTCAGACTCAACTTGACGGGTTGTGAGACCGAACAGTCGGTCCTGTGTGCTTGCCAGGCTGCCGGCAATATTTTCAGACAGCTCAGTACTCTTATCAATCAACCAGCGGATCTATCCGTTGCGCCCATTTGCATTGGAAAGATGTTCCTCGCCATCAGTTTGGGTTTGCAACCATGAAGATTGCTGGATCGCAAGGGAAACCAAAAGGAAACCCAACTGGAGGAGAATTTGCAGAGTCACCCACTCCAAATACCCACTTGTTTTAAGGCAGGGTATGGGGGGCAAATCCAGGTCGCCATAGATAAAACCGGGCTTTTCCCCAGAAAAAAAAATGCACCAAACAACCAAACAAAAAAACAACCAAACAAAAAGAAACAACCAAACAAAGAAACAACCAAACAAAAAGGTGGGTCGTTTTCGTCCTTTGATCTTTGGTGCCAGGCTCCGATTTTTAGCCCTCAACATGGTTGTTCCCCCGTAACCTGAAAATACCACGGCTTTTTTCAGTTGGTATTTTTGGGAACCGGTTTCGGTTTTCCATGGTAAATACCAAACCTTTTCTAGTAGAGTGCCGATATCATACCCTGAAAAGAAGAGGTGTTGGGTAGGGGCTGGTGGTTGCTTTCTGGGACGACCATCAAATCACTGCTTTTCTGGCCAGCACAAACAAATTCTTGGTATAAAACCGATTTGAGCGATCTTGGGTTCATTCCGGGCCCCTGAGGATTTGGTCCGGTTTTTTCATTGGAGGGCCCCACAGCCTGCATTGCAGGGGTGAGCCGAGCCGGGTGTTTGCCTTTTTCACAACTTAGGGCTTAAAAACACCTCTCGCGGTCGCTGGAGTGGTTGTTTGTTTCGAAAAAATTTGGCCGAGGCCCTTTGGCGTCTATCAGCTTAGGATGGTTCATGGCTCATGGAAACCGAAGGCCGAATCGCCTGGAGTCTCCTTCTGACCCGAATCAAAAATGGGTCCATGACCCCTGTATTTTGGGGGAATGACCCCATGTTTAAAGGGTCAGAAGGAGACTCCAGGCAGGAGTTCACCGCCACCTTACGGTGGTTTCGAAGGTTGTCGAAAGGGCGCTTCAAGCCTTGGGATGCCCAGGCACGCCTTCAGCCAATGTGAAGCGGTGAAGCGGTCATGGCGGTGTCTTGAAATACCCCCCGCAACCTCAAAAAACCAGCGATGTTTTTTCAGTTGGTGTTGTTCAGTTGGTTTTTGGGGGAAACCGGTTTCGGTTTTCCATGCTACATACCTGCAGTGGGGGGAGGCGTACCAGGTGAAGGATTCGTTTCCTTCGGCCCTTCCCTGTAAAGCCCACTACAGGAAGTACCCGTCAAAGCAAGACACACCCATCTCCTTTTTGAAAATCCAGGCTGGGAAAGTTTTTCGCGATGATTCGGGTTAGACCCGGCTGCCCCCTTGGCGCAACACAGCTCCTTTTGCAGGGCTCCTGAAAAAAGATACATTTTGCAACCATTTGAAACATGTTGCTTTTTCCACCCAAGTAAAGGGAAACCAGCATTGACAAGGCAATGTTCCGGTGTAGAATAAGGATCCCTGTTTTGGTTTCTCGGGACCATGGGCTGATGCTAAAAGCTTCGCCTGTTCAATTCGGAAACCCGCCCAAACCAAAACCCGAAGTTGCAAGAAGTGCCCAGATCCCCGCCGGGGCCCCTTCGAACTTTTTGGAGGCTACCCCCGAAGCCTCCAAATATTTTTTGTTTCAGTTGGTATCATGTCGACCCTCTACTAAAAGGAGGTATTTACCTTGGAAAGCCAGGTTTTCCCAAAAATACCCTGAAAAACGTGGGTATTTGGAGTAGGGGGTATTTTTTTTTAGTCAAGGGTTGACATCATACCATATTATACCCTGAAAAAGCGGGTATGTGAAGTAGGGGAAGGGGTACAGGGCGGGCAAAGGAGCAAGTGATTAGCTGAACGCGGGATGCAGGGAGCGCAAAAGGGCGATGTGGCGGGTCCAAAGATGTGTTTGTAATTTGTGTATCCTTTAGATCCCAGCCACTTGCTGTTCGCTTGGTCATGTCAAAGGAGGTATTTGACATGGAAGGCAACTATGCTACTACCCTTTGACAACTTACATAGTTCTTTGTCATAAGGAGGTTTTCAGCAACTACCCTAGTCGACAAGTTGCGAACCCGGGTGACTTTTGGCCCAAAGTATGGGCTCGTGGGCTTCCAGTGGCTGGAAAAAGGTAGCTACCTTGGGTTGCCAGGCGCACGGTGTTGGTTTTGCCATGTCATGGATGCTCGCCGAGCGGAAGGAGCTGCCCCATTGCGTTGTCACCGGCGTCGACGGTCAGCGAATTGAAGACTGAGGCACAGAAGCAGTGAAAGCGCGGCTTTTTGAGGCTTGCTTTTGGAGGTCAGCAGCTGGATGAGTTGAACTCCTTGAGTGAGATGGGAGTCCGAGATTGGGACAGCATTGATGCGATCGTGCAACCTGTCGAAGTAGCTTCAATACGTGGAGCATTTGCACTTTTTGTCATTGGAGGCGCAGCGCTTACATAGGGCAGTCATCGTCATGGTGGCGACAGCAGCCAGGTGCGAGAGCAGTTGGCGAGGGTCCAGCAGATCCAAGCAACTGACGATGCTTTTGCTGCCATCGCTCTGTGGTGACATGGGGCGATCCTGACAATGGCGGTGACAGCAGCCAGGTGCGAGAGCAGTTGGTGAGGGTCCAGCAGATCCAATCAACTGACGATGCTTTTGCTGCCATCCTGGACGATGGCTCTGTGGTGACTTGGGGCTATCCTGCGAGTGGCGAAGACTGAAGCCAGGTGCGAGAGAAGTTGGTGCGCGTCCAGCAGATTCAAGCAACTCGGACTGCTTTTGCTGCGATTCTGGAAGACGGCTCTGTGGTGAAAGGGGGCAATACATCCTTGGCTGGTGACAGCAGCCACGTGCGAGAGCAGTTGGTGGCTGTCCAGCAGATCCAAGCAACTGACAATGCTTTTGCTGCCATCCTGGCGGACGGCTCTGTGGTGACTTGGGGCGATCCTTTAGCATGGCGATGACACTTGTTGTGAGCTGGTCCTGGATTCCGCGTGTTTTTTTGGCATATGGCCATGGGTCAAATTCCCCGTACCCCCGGTGAACATCCCAATCCCCACTAAAATAGGTTCTAGAATGGGTGGTGCACCGAAAACCCCGAAATGGGATCCATTGGGATCCCATTGTTTTTTCTAAAATGGGTGGTGGATTCACCTATCACAAAATGGTGAACCATGGCCATATTCACTGCAAGCAATATTCAGACAGCCGTCGATGGACCCAGAAGGAAGCGAAGGAAGGTGCAGCTCTTTTCTGGGACCAGCGGATGAACCGAGCAACTGATCCTCTCCAACCCACTTTTCTACTGCTGTTGGGTTGGATCTTGAGACTTTAACTCTTTGGACTCCCCTCATATGTCCTTTTAGCCAGCGAAGAGCTAAACTTTTTGCTGGGGATCTACAGCACCCAAGTTTTACTGTTGGGATGTTCGGGAAACGCCTTGTCAACGGATTCGGTCAATACCGATTCCTTTCTTCGCCAAGGGTTTGCCATTTCACATCATCTCGCTCGAGCTTCGGGACTCGGTGACTCGGACTTGATGTTCACTTTGTCTTGGTGTGGTGTTGCCATTGCGGACACAACCTACCTGTTTATTTCAGGCTAGGTCGACCCTCTGCTGAAAAAGGGATCGGCATGTACCTTGGTCATGTGTTTAACCGAGCTTCATCAACCCCAGTTCCTGAACAGGGTGGGGGTGCCCTCCAAAAATGGTCTAGATCCCAAACCCAGTTGGAAAAGCACCCCCACATGTTTTGAGACATGGGTCAACATGAATCCTGGGTCAACAAACCCCCTACACCAAACACCCGCTTTTTTCAGTTCGTATGTTTGCGATAACCGATCGGTTTTCCATAGTAAATACCTCCTTTTTTGTAGAGGGTCGACATCATAGCCTGAAAGAAGCGGGTGTTCGGGGTAGGGTGTAATACTAGGTCCCCCAGTAGGGCCCTTTCTCACCCCTTTTTTGGTTGGGAGGGTTTGGCCTACTAAAATAGACGTCCAGAAAGAAATCGAGCACCAACTTATTCTAAGCTCTCTACTGGTTGTATCATGTCGACCCTCTACTAAAAGGAGGTTGTTTACCATGGAAAACCGAAACCGGTTTTCCCAAAAATACCAACTGAAAAAAGCGGTGGTAGTTTGACAGGGCTCCTTAAAAGATACATGTTGCCACCATTTGAAACATGTTGCTTTTTCCGTACCAAAAAGCTGGGGAAACCAGCATTGGCAAGTTGCAATGTTCTGGTGTATGATGTAAGGATCCCTGTTTGAGTAGGGGGTAGGGTTGGTAAGTTGTGGTTCCTTCTCTCCAGGCGGTCGCCGCCGAGCTCCAGGACTTCTTCTTTCGCCCTGCCTTCCAGGCGACTCGCCGCGTCGCGAGTCGCCTTCGGGGGAAACCGAAAAGGACGATGGACGAAGCGAGGTTTGGGGAACGACGTAACTTGTTGGGCCTGGACTTTTACCACTTGGGGCGAAATCCCAGAGGGTCCCTTGGTACCTAAGGAGGTACCAAGGGACCCTTTTTACCCCCCCCCCCAAGAGCCATCCTGAGGAACCAAGGGATCGTTTGGGCTTGATGGGCGGGTAGTAACCATGGCCTTTGGGCTGGTGGAGTGCACTCGGAACTTGGCTCTTGAAAGGCACAAAGAGCCGGTGCAAGTACCCCCGAAACCTCAAAATACCGACGCTTTTTTCCAGGACATTTTTTGGAAAACCGATCGGTTTCCCAGATAGCCAAGTTGCTGCTTTTGGCCATATACTGCTTTCCTCAAAATCAGTCAGTGGCGATCCAGGTTGTGCTTCTTGGTTTCTGTGTCAGCCAAGCCTTGCTTGAATGTTCACAAATCCGACCGAGACATATGAAGAGTCTAGGGTCCAATTACTGAGTTCCCCACAAGAAAACACACCACTTGTCCCATGTCCAACTCGGGAAAGAAGGCGCGCCTGGATCGCCAGTTGCGATCGCTTCTTTCCCTGAACTTCATACCCCAAAAAACCGATCGCAACAGTGACCGGGAAAAAAAACAATAAAAACATACAATTAAAAGAAAGCGGAAGCAGCAACTCGGCGATCGGCCGGCGCACACGTTTGGTGGCCTGGCCGTGTCACCCGCAAGAGCTTAGCGAGGCGCCCTGGATCCTGGAGCGCTTCAGGCGGGATCTCGAAGATTTGGACAAATCGGTGGGACAAATCGAAGCACCCAAGGTCCACTTGGAAACAAAGTGTTGCTTGTCTCAAAATATCCCCCCCAAAAAACAAACACAAAAAAACAAAAAACAAGCAAACACATGGGGGGGGGGGGGGGGGGGGGGGCATTTGCTGGTGGTTCCCTTTCCAACCCAAGGGTACCCTCAAAAACACGGGCACAAATGGCTACGACCACCATGAAGCCTCGAGGGGGCCAGGTTTTTCGACCAAGTCTCGGCCCAGAAACCACAAGCGAAACCGGTTGCCCCCGGCATTCTCTTTGAAGCATCATAGCCCCTACTCCAAATACCCGCCTTTTTCAGGGTATTTTTGGGAAAACCTGGTTGTCCAAGGTAAATGCCTCCTTTTTTAGTGGAGGGTCGACATCATACCCTGAAAAAAGTGGGTATTGGGTGCAGGGGGTATGTTTTGTTTTCTGGGACCGAGAAGGTCTGAATCGGTTTGGAGGTGTTCACCGTGGCGATTCTGCCCACGGTTTTCTAGAGGGAGATCTTGATGCATTGGCACGCCTCCTTTGCACTGCGTTTTGGAACGGAAGCTCCGCACAGCAGCCCTCGCGCGGCCCAAAGATGGGGAAACACCCACTTTTCTTTGGCTGAAGCCAACCAAGCTTTCAAGTTGTTGCACTTGCTCTTCGCTCAGAGGCTGGAATCAAGATAAGATGTTGAGCAAAAGGAACCCGAACTGAAGCAAAAGCTTCTCCCTGCGTTCTTCGTTTGGGCCCACTGGCTGATCTGTGTGAGTTTGGCTCCGGAGTTCCCGGAGTCCTTCTCGGTACTTTCAAAAAGCTTTCGGTAAACAACGACCAAGAAGCTGTTTAGCACTTGAGCACTCATCTTTTTTTTGCCCAAGTGGAAGTAGAAACACATGTGAGTCTGCATCCTCCCCCACCCTCCACCCCCCCCCACCCCACCCCCTCACCCCCCCAACACCCCCACCAGCCCCACCCTCCACCCCCCACCTACCACTCCTCCCCCCCCCCCCCCCGCCCACGCGAAGCTTCGCCGGGCAGGTTCTTCGCGGCGCCCAGCTGCGACCTCTTCGCGCGGCCCGCGGCGTCGGCCCGCGGCGCCGGGGCCTCGGAACCGGCCTCGGAACCGGCCGGGCCAAGCGGGTGGTTTGGGGATGGCCAAGGGCCGTGGTGGTTGGTGGGACACGCATTTCACAAGTTGAGGTGTTGTGTTTTTTTGTTTTATATGGTTTTATATATGTTTTTGTGGGTTTATTGTGTTGTCATGCTTGTTGTTGGGGATTTTTTACAGTTTGCTCCATGTTTTTTGTTGTTTTAGGGTTCTCATGGCTATTGTGGTTCAGGGGGAAATCCAAATCCACTTCACTGCTAAACTTTGAAAATGTTTGCTGCCCATCCAACTTTGGTTTCCGTAAACCGGGTTTTCAGGGGTCGAGTCCTCGTCCAACTGTTTGGTGGTTTTCAATACCTCGCCTCTTTCAGGGGTCCCTATATCTCCCTTTTTGGTTGTTTTAAACATCACCTTTTCGGCCCATGAAAGGTGAGGGTCCCTTGGTGGGGGTGATGTTTTACGGGCAAATATAGGGAGCCCTGTCTTTGGCCAGGTGAGTTTCTTTCTTGGTGGGGTGATGTGTTAAGCGCAAAGATATTTAGGGAGCCCTGTTTTCCGGGGTTGACCGGTTGTCCGGTAACGAGATGACTGCAACGGCGTTTTGGCGCTGGTTACAACTTTGGTTTTGGTCTTGGTTTTCCGTGTTGGTACAACGAGTGGACTTGAGATTCAGTTTTCGGTTTATACAAGGAAGAAGTTTGGTTTACTTGTTCTTGAAAATTCCTTATTTAATGTCAGGTTCTTGAATTGGATGTGATTGTGTGTTTTCTTTTTGGGGGCCGGGTCTTTGGCTTGGCAAAGGCTGATATCTAGGCTGGGTGTTCCTTTCTGGCTTCAAAACAACAGGGGGAACCATCAAAAACTCGGGACATTCTCGACACCGGGGTCCGTGCGTCCAAAAATTTGAAGCCATTTGGGATCTGTCTGAAAAATAGGAACCCCATTTTGTGGCGTGTTTCCGTTTGGCGTTCCTTCAAAACCCTCCGAGGGGTCCGCCTTTGAGAAACCCCCCAGCCCTTTGCGTCAAGCTGCGTCTCTTTCTCCGGATTTGCCAAGCCAAGGTCAGAACCGAAAGACACCCAGCTTAGGTTCAAGAATTTGTGGGGGATGGGTTGGGGGGGGGTGGGGGGCTGGGGGTGTGGGTGGGGGGTGGGAAGAAACCCAGTTGGACAGCTGCCAGCCTTTCTCGACTGCATATTCAGTTTGGACAAGAGTCCATTGAGGAGATTGATCTTAAACAGACGTGCATTTTCTCTCCAACGGGTTAGTCCTGTTGGTTACCAACTGAAGGCCTTTAGGGCATCGAGAAAAGCTCGCACGAGTAGAGGGTTTGAGTTACCAATTGCAGTATGTCCATGTCTCGGGGGAAACTAGGGGCTTAATTACCTGGCAGTTGACCCTCGGAGCTTGGCTTTTGGGTGTTGTTCTCCTAAAGGTGAGCTTCCCGTCCCTTCATGCCCATTCCCTCTTCATTTCTTGAGATTCAAGAGAAAGATCGGGAGAGATGAAAAGCTAGGTCCCCCAGCAGTGCCCTTTTACCCTTTTTTGGGGGAGATTCGGTTCCCCTACTAAAATAGACTGCAGAAAAAAGTTGGTACTTTTATCCTAACTTTTTTACTGGAGGACCTAGAAAGTGAAGAACTGGAAATTCAGAGAAACCCAGCGGTTCACCAGAGAGTCGTCCTGAAGCATCACTGGACCAGAAGCGGGCAAAAGACCTGTGCCCGGACTACGGTGCGGAAGAACAAAGCCGTGAGAAATACGCGAAGTCTCCTTCCTTGAGTTTCTGGGTTTCAGCCTTTAGTCACTTTTTTGGGTTGGGGACCATTTTGGCGCTAAACAACCCCCATGAGCCATCCAATTTAACCCCTACCTTTCGAAATAAGGGGAGCGCCAAGCGCCGGCTTCCAGGTCCTGCTGCTGCACAGCCGAGGATGGCAGGCGCGCGAAGCGTTCGGGCTGGGGAAGCACGCGACCCCCTACTCCGAATACCCGCCTTTTTTGGGGTATCTGTTTGGCAAACCTGAGTCAACAAGGGTTAACGTCATTTCTTTCATACCCTGATGAAAGTGCGTCTGGACCATGCCAAGCTGCAGCCTATTATTTGAGGCCTTTCGCCTGCCAGACTGAGCTCGGAAAAAGCCGACGTCTTAAAGCTTAGGCAACGAACGCCGATATACAGATTCTGATGAGTTTGTTGGAGGCTGTCCTGGGAGCATCATGTCAACCCTTCACTAGAAAGTGAGGTATGATTACCGTGGAAAACCAGGTGTTCCAACAACTGCCAACTAAAAAAGAGCGGAAATTGGACTAGGGGCCCAGCCCCTAACTTGCGCGCTGTCTCCGCTTGTGGCCGTAATAAAAGCCCTGTTGCTGGATGCTACGAACACCGAAGCGCTTCAGGTACCTTCTTAAATGGCCTAGTGTCAAGCGTTCGCGTGCAGAGCCCAGGGAGCAGAATACATTTGGTGACGCGTGCAAACGCGAGCGAGAAGGAGCCGTGTTTCAGAAGACTCGATCGACGTCGATCGATGCTGCCTGGCTTGGGCTCTTTGACCGATTCTGGATGCAAGTAAATCGCATGAGCGCGGATTGACTTCGACACGAGAATTCCGTCTTGCGCCTGGGGGCCATCCTGACTTTGGAACGGACGAAGTGAAAATCTCGCGATAGGGCATCTGGACAGGGCGCGCGTGTCCACCGTGTCGATCGTATAGCTGATCGCGAGCTGCCACTGACACGCTGATTCGGGGTTTGACGAAGACCATGCCGGCGTCTGTCGAGAGCACATGGCATCCTTGCAGGAAAGGTGTAGTTTTCAGATAGCTAAACGCCCCAGATCGCCCCTACTCCAAGTACTTGTTTCAAGGCATGTTTTTGGGGAAAAGCCTGGTTTTGCATGGTGAAGACCAAACCATTTGTCGTAGAGGGTTGACATGATACAGCAAAAAGATGTAGGTAAGGGAAACCAACTAGCAGGAATACACGGGGAACCAGGAATACGTGAAGATTTCTCTAGATGCACCTTGACCAAGTTTGATACGGGAAACGGCGCCAAGGGAATCCCCTCATATCCCCGCTCCCTCCGTATCCCCGCTTGTTCGTTAGGTATTTGGAGTAGGGGATGAAAGGTTCATCACACCTGCTTGGGCCCATCGCTCAGATTCCGGGTGAGGGGAGGCAGGAGCTGAGGTGAGGAAGTTCCGGTTCGCAAATTCATGTATGCTTTGTTGCATGTTGCTTGGATGTTAGGACTTCAGCTTTTTGCCAACTAATGGGTTTTCCATTAAACCACTAAAAGTTAAACTTTTAGCAGGGGAGCAGAAAGTAACCAAGTATGGTGAAGAGTGAGCTTCTCATATTGCTAGTGTTGAGCTCCAGTTTGTTTGGGTCTCGGTGCCCTTGTTCGACTTCACTGGCATGCTGTTTAGCGCTGCGTGTTTTTGGTCGTTCGTTTGGGTTCGGCCTAAAAACCGTCCATGCCATGTCAAGTTCCTCAGGATGGCTTTCCCCAGAAGAACCCGCCTTTCAGTCACGGGGGCGAATGAGAAATCCGGGAGCACAAGGGACTCAGATGTCAGGTGAAACTCGAAACATGCAAAAGCATGGTTTGCGGTGGATTTGTTCGGGTCCGTCTTCTGGGGCTAGCATGTTTGTGGGAACCCGCAAAGTCTACCAGGGGGGCACTTCATTTTTCCAACCACCTGCTTCTTGACACCCCTCTGTTTAACCCAAACGATCGGTCGGTCGGGCTGCAAGGACGAGCGTTGCAAGAAAATGTAAAAGGACAGCCAAAAAACATGACACATGTTGGAGTTGGCTTCTTTTGTTTATCCTTGCCGTTGCCACCATTTCGTTGTCTCCAAAATCTGGGTCCTCCCAAACTTGATATTTTAGGGTTGGATAAATGTGGAAGGCACTCTGGAAGTACTTTGGAGTAGCTCAGTATGTGGGTCTGTTTTTTGTAGAAAAAATCGCAAAAGTTATTGTTAAGGCTTTGTTTGCAAAACCGTAAAGCCAAACTGGGGACCCCACAATTTCCTGCAAAAGGACACCTGGGCCAAGACATGATGGGTCCCCCTGCACCCAATACCCTCGTTTTTCAGGGTATCATGTCGACTCTCTACCAAAAAAAAGGATCGGTATTTACCTTGGAAAACCGATCAGTTTTCAACCAAAAATACTAAAAAGGAGGTATTTACCTTACCAGGTTTCCCAAAAATACCCTGAAAACGACGTTGGTATTTGGTGCAGGGGGGGCGTCCTCTCGCCCCGTTGATTCGCTCCAGGTGCGGGAGATCTGTCGCGAGGCGCGGCGCAGCAAGAACCACGTCTTCTTGCTGAGGACGAGAAGTGCGAGCCGAGTTCCACCGGAACGATTTTTTGGTGTTTTGTTTTTTGCTTTGTTTTTTTTTGCCACCAAACCATCGGGCTCCACACTACCAATTAGAGAGAAACGGACATGTTGAGGCTCCCCGATGTTCAGACTCCTGCTTCGTTTGTCTGGGCTTCTTTCTCAAGGTGTTGGTCACCACATGGGCCTATCATGGGCTGACCGGTGCCGAGTTCAAGCAATGGGCTCTTCTTTTTGGAGTCGGTACCCAATTGTTTGGTGGTCGTAAAAGGAAAACCCAAAGGAAAGCCGCGGTTGTTTTGTGGCCAAGTCCGATTCCTACAAACAGACACCCAGATGGTGTTTCCATTTACCTACAAAAGGTTCGACCTTTGACGTGGGAGTGTGCCGCCTACTCTTGTTTATCCCATTCGAATGGGTCACCCAGCAGAGCATGTTTGTTGATGGCTAGTCCCAACGTAGTCAACTCAAGCAAATTCTCAAGGTCCTACGAAAACCAAAACATCAATTGAAGTTGCTTATTTGCTCATGCTGCCGAAAACCATTTGCATATAAATTGTGTGCGTTTGTTTCAGTATGCTATTTGTTTTCACCCACCCTAAAGCAACCCCAAAAGATTCCTCAAATCAACCTGAACCGAGCCCTGAGACGACCCAAAGAACCCCGAAGAGCCACCCTACGCCCACCCATCGCCTCGAAGCCAACCCAAAACTCTTAATCTAAACCAGCCCAAAACCCAAAGCCAACGTGCACCTCGCTGTGTCTGTGAGACCGATGAGATAGCCAACATGCCCGCAAGTTGAACCAACTGCTGATTCAGTTACGGAACCTTGTCCTTTTGGCTGGTGGGTTTCGCTGTGCTTTTGGTTGAAAAAAATAAATAGAAACGGTCGCATCAGCTAGTCACCGAAGCTCCTTTTTGCGGCCGCATCTATATCTCCCAGGCCATTGCAGATGGAAGGCATGAGGATAAACTCACCGCAAGCGTCGGCTTCCGAGGCCTTTCGCAGTGGAAGCTTCTTGTGACTATGCCCCCTCCAAAGAAGCGCTTTTTTCAGTTGGTATCATGGCAACCCTTGACAAAAAGGGAGTAAAGCCAGGTTTTCCCAAAAATACACTCAAAAAAGCGGGAAAGCACACGCCCACATAGCTGTTGTATTCGCCAGTCAGCCGCTTCCTATTTCCCGGCCGTTTTCTGCGATACCCTGGCGACACCTCCTACTCCAAATCCCCGTTTAAACGTATTTTTAAAAATCGGATGTTCCATGGTGGATACCTGCTTGTTTAGAACGGGGTTAGCATCATACTGTGAACAAGTGGTTCTTTGGAGTAGCGGGTAAAGTACTAGTTGTATCTCGAAATTTACCATGTTACCATGTTATTCTTGTTTTGCAGGAATTCACCAGGTAGGGTTTCCCCTACACCAAATACCCTCTTTGTTGGGTATACTTTTTGAAGAACCAGTTGTTTCCATTGTAAGCATTGTAAACACCTCCTCTTTAGTCAAAGGTTGACATATCCTACCACACCCCTGAACAAAAGTGAGTATTGGGGTGTAGGGGGTTCGTTTTACGTTCAACTTGCTGGTTCATTCCTCAGGGAATGAGAAATGCAATTAGCCCAAGAAAAGCCCTTCGCTATGGCTTTCTTTATTCGGGAATCCCCAAAGCCGGTTCATTCCCAACACCTTCCCTACTGTGCATGCACAAAATCCTGCACCATCTAAGAAACCCATGATGATTCCCCTGTACATACATGTACATACCAATCAACCAATGGTTTTCCCATGTTTTTCAGGTGGTGCGATTTCTGGATTTTGGTCCATCCACTGTATGGCTTCCAAACAAGAATTCCCTTGTAGATGAAATCCAATGGTTTCCCATGGATTTCATGTGCAAGACTTCCAAACAAATCGGGACTCCCATTCCCCGGACGCGATGAAGCGCTCCTTCCCCCCGATTTTTATCGCACACGATGGATCTGGAGCTCCTCGGAAGGAGCTCACAGCCTCTCGCGGAGCTCCAGGACGGCGGGCAGAACGTTCAGATCGATGAGTTGGACCTCTTGGTTTCCGTTCTGAAGAAAAGGAGTGCGGAACCGAGGAAAATTCAAGAGGTGTAGAGGTGGTTGCAAACACAAAAATAGGAAATTACTAGGTGCCCCAGCAATAGGTGCCCTTTCTCACCTTTTCTTGATTGGTTGGGAGATTCGGTTTCCCTAAAATAGACTGCAATAAAAAGTGGGTACCCTTATTCTAACCTCTCAAATCTGGAGGACCTAGTTGACCTCTTCGTGGTCCATTCGCTTTTTTTTTATTAAACTCATCACACCTGAGTTCCACTTCAAACTTGGGCTTGGACCATGTTACTAGCAAACAGAAGGTTTAAAAGTTTAGTTGGTTCGTGTTTAGTGAACCGGCAAGCCCTGGGGGCTCCGCCAAAAACCGTACCCCAACACCGTGTCCAATGGAGGGTCTGCAGGGGCAAAGAGACAGTTTAGACTGTTGGCCACTTTTTTCAGGGTATTGGGAAGACCTGGCTTTCCATGGTAAACACCTCCTTTTGAAGTAGAGGGCCGACATGATACCCTGAAAAGGCGGGTATTTGGAGTGCGGGGTACCTTGGGGTAGTCAGAAAATGGCTCGCCCTGAAGCATGTTCGGAATTCCCAAGGGCTTCACACATGTCGGACACGCCAAACAATCGATCTATTTTTGAGCCTATCCACTCAGACGGTGACATGTCTTGGGTTTTAGGGGGGTTCAAAGAGATCTGGGTCACCGTTGCCTTAGTTGTGGAGGTACTCCGTGGTTCAACTCTGTCCAATGAAGTCAACAAACATCTTGAGCGGTCTCAAGAATAACTGTCGAGTCCTGGCGGTTCCTTGTCAAGCTGCCAGGGAAATATTCTGAGTGCTCCCGTTGGCAGATGTCGCCAGCCCCGAGGCTTCTGCATCACGTTTGTTGGACCAACAACGAGCGCGTTTCTGTTTTCTTAAGTTTCCCTTCGAAGCAACCCTTAATAATGGTAGCCTCACAAAAAAAAGAGGAAAAAAAGCGAAAGAGCACGCAAGGCCGTGTAGAAGAGCGTATGCCATGTCATATATGAACGAAGAGGGCCCTGCTGTTCCACCGCCAGCTCGCCAGCAGCTCCGCAAATAGTGAGTTGTGTAACTCAAAAGAAGAACAACACTGGCACCGCTTAAGGATTTTGTACAAGAAGAAGGGCACCAGGAATTGATTTTGACACCCCTTTTTGCGACGGACGAAAAATAGTCACTCCTTTCGCGCCGCGGGACCGATGTCCGAAACTCGGATTCGCAGAACATGTGTGACAACAATGTGCTGGTGCTGGAGGACCGCGGTGCCGAAGGATTGGCCTCCCTGTATTCAATGCTGCACTTTTTGTCCTCTGAGATATGGCAAACCCTGACTGAAAAAGGAACGGATTGGCATTTACCTGGTTTCAACCAGGCTTCCCAAAAAGCAGCAACTAAACAAACCGGGTATTTGGAGGTTGCGGCTACATCTTCCCCTTGTGGCTCTCTTTTGAGCACTGCTGCAAGGTGGGAATGAACCCGGGTAATTCCCTCATTCCCCTATCGCAGCAAGACAATGGCGCAGCGGCGTTCCTTGCCCTTCCCAAAGAAAGGGTGTCCGAGCCTCACACAATAAAATTGGGCGAGCCACCCGTTCAAAGCGAGGTGATATGTTTTGTGTTTGTTTTGTGTTTGTTGTTTTTCTCTCCCGAAGAATCCTGTTTGATGGCTGGCATTTTTTCTGTGGAAGCTGGTTGATGGCTGGCAAAATTGAGGGCAAAGCTTGTTGCCCCCGTTTTTTATCGGCGCTTCGGGCTGCACCGGGGTCCAAATAGGGGCAAGAGTGTGGATTCACGAAAGTTCTGCACCACTTGAAGCCATGGTTTATTTGTGCTTGACGGGGGAACGAATCAGAAACCAGGCTTTCTGAGCGGTGCGATTTCTGGATGTCGTCACCATCCACGGTATTTTGAAAAAATGCCACCCCAAGGCTCGGTGATTGTTGTGAAACATTTCACATGTTTTCTTATTGTGGTTTGGTAGGAAATCCCCACTTAACTGCTGAGATCTTTATTTCTGTTGCCCCCCTTTCAACGTCAACCAAGAAGGGCTTCAATTCAAAGATTGGTTCTTCCGGGCATCGCAACAAAGCTCATGGTTCTATCGCCCGCACGGTTCCATGAAATGGGCGGCTTCGGTGTGGGGGTCGTCGGGAATCCGTTTGGGCCCCTTTTGGGTTTGAAGGGACAGGAGAAACGCCACCTTTGGCGTCGGGGCAATTGTGCTTCCCCCGTAACCTCCAAATACCCCCCTTTTGTCAGGAGATCATGTCGACACTCTGCTCAAAAAGGGTTGGTATTTGCCATGGAAAACCGATCGGGTTTCCCAAAAATACTCAGAAGGAAACAAAAAAGGGGGGGGGGGGGGAAAAACGGGTATTTTGAGTACGGGGTATCTGGCAAGGAGTTTGTGTTTGCCCTCAGCCGCATGAAGGCGTGTTCTTCCCTGTTGAAGGTGATGCATTACCCCTTCGCTCACCAAATGCTTGACCAGCATCATGCACATCCTGTACCGTCTACCTCTGACTTCCCACGTGGCGTAAGGTTTGTCAAAACTTCCGTAAGGTTTTTCGGGATCCATCTAGGCCCTCAGCGAAAACTTCCATTTGCGGCTAAGAATGACGATTTTGTATGTTCCTCGTTGGTTTTAAAGGGAGTCGAAATATCACTACTGGACATATTGATTTGTCTTTTCCCATGACGACGAAAAGTGGAAGCCAATGGCAACCACCCTAAGGCTCATGACCGGAGCCTCCAATGGCTTCCGGGCCCTCCAATGAAGAACCCGGACCTTCCAGGGGCCCTGACAAATATGACAAATGGGGCCTCAGCCCAGCCTCAGGGGCATTTGCCTGACAACTGGGGTCTTCGCCTAGCTTTGGCTCTCAGATCCCGGGCTTTAGGCTCCGGTTTCGGTTTGGACCCATTTGAGCAATCCCATCGGAAGTGGGGGGCAATCACAGTACCCCTTTGTGGTGTGACTCGGTGCTTTTTGGATGACGTGAATGTTCCTTTAAAGAGTTGAGATATGTGGGTTTGTCTCAAAATCGGGAGATCCCAAACTGGGTGGTTTCCTCTTTGGTTTCCAGTTGAACCACCCCAAAAGCCAACATGGATCCGCGGAAGTGAGGCACTTCTCCCATGTTTGGGCTGATGTAAGGAGTGATCTATGATTTCGTTCGCAGGATGAGGACCGGGTCAAGGCGGGCACCTGCGTTTCGCTATATGGCCCATTTGGATTTTGTTTCCAAAGCAAAACAAAATATTGGTGGTTCCCCGTCCGGTTCCTGAGGTGTTTAGCTCTTAGTCGGTGAAAGGTGCACACTCCAAATACCCTCTTTTTTCAGCGTATCATGTCGACCCTACTAAAAAAGGAGGTATTAACCCTGAAAAATGCGGGTATTTGGAGTAGGGGGTAGTTTCCACACTTAAGAGTGCGACTGTTCGCAAATAATCGAAGGGGAACACGCCCAGCAAGGGGATGGGACATGCTATAAAAGCTGTCCAGACCTACTGTTTAGCACGTCTCAACAGTTAGGTCAGAAATGGCTTCCAGCATCACCATAGGAGATGACATGGGGCATCGCCACTGTAAAACACGGAGGTTGCCAATATCGTTGGACGTGTTTTGCCGGGCGCTGGTTCGTTTCCACGCAACCCGTGTTGCTTGCAGAACCCAAAAGTGTTTCCCCGAAAGGCAACAAAAGGGGTCTGGGTGTTGGTTTTTGTTCTCTTTCCACACCCCTGTATTGACACGTGGGTTTGACCATGGGATCGTGCCACTGAATTTTTTGCAGCCGCACCTCTCAAAAACTCCTCCAAAAGATTTGGGCTTACTTCGTCCCATTCGAGTTCTTTCTTCCGAACGCGACAAATATCCCCATGGTTGGTGTCCTTGTCCCAGCGGCACGCCAAAAGGACTATCTCAAAGCAGCTCGGGTGGAACGGGTCCGCAGATGGCCGCCGTTCTGCTCTTGTTCCTCCTCGCGCCTCAGCTCGCATCTTGGGACGATGAACTCCCGCAACGAGAGCTTCCTCCACCCTCTGCCACAACCGTTGGTTGACTGTTTTTCTATCCGGCAAGAGTGGCCAAGTTAGCTGTGAAGCCACGTTTGCCAGAAAAGCCAAGGTCGAATTAACACCATGAACATAGGCGTCCTTTTTAGGTTGAATTAGAAATAGATGGGTTCCACTGGTTTAGATAGGTTTCATTCCATTTACCAAGGCCATCTATTTCGTCAAAAGGACACCTATGACCATGAAGGAGTGGCTGCCGGCTGGCGCGAAGGTTGTGGTGCGCGGTAGCGCGAGCGCCACAGTGCAAACTGCGTGTCTCTTCTCCAGTGGCTGCAGCCCGCGGAAGCGCTTCTTCCATTTGCTTACAGAATATATATTTTGTCCCTTGTTGGTTGTAAAGGGAATAGATATTTCACTACTGGAAATATGTTTTTTTTCCAGGGGGCTTAAGCAAATGGAAGCTTTAGTTGCCCTTTCGAACCAGCTCCTCGCTCATCGAAGGCGTCGATGCGACCTACGAAGGCGAAATGAATCAAACACCCTAGATAGCCCAGTTGCTGCTTTTTGCAGTCACTGTTGCTGGTTTTTGGGGTAATGGAAATAAGCGATCGCAACTCTCGTGCTCGGTGGGTCAGAAATGGCCAGCCCGGCAAGAACGGTTGTATCGGCACTTTTGGCAAATGGAGTCGTGTTGGTGCGCCTTTACCCCAAGAAAGATACGGCGCCTCGCAAACACGCATCATCATTCGGCCGTTCAAGGATGGTGAAATCTTCATGGCAAGGGGGCCAACCCCTTGTCACATGCTGTTCCGGTTGCGTGTCAGATGTTGTTTCCTTCATGTTGCCCCGGTTGGTTTTTAAGGGAAGTCGATTCCACGACTGGATATCTACAGTTGTTTCTTCCCGGGAACAGTGCAAAAGAAGAACGCCACATGGAAGTCACTTGTTGAGTCCCCCCTTAGCTCCAAGAAAGAAACCGGTCCGGAAGCGGAACCTCCGTTTCTGCTTGACATGTCCCTCAAAAACTGGATGTCTCAGGCGCGATGTGGGTTGAGAAATGTTAGCCATAAACAAATTGGGTGGTTTCAAGTTGGAAAAGCCCCACGTGTGCGACTGAGTGAAGGGGACCCCCAAAATGGAGTGCGGTTTTCCTAAGTGTCCCTAAACCAAAAGGGGGTGGGGGGGTGGGGGGGTATCCTTGAAAAAATGCAAGCCCAGACCGACCATTTTTCATTGGGCAGCCCTTGAAAAGCTACAAACCCAAATGACCAAACCGACTTCTCACGCGGCAGCGAGGTCCTCCCCCCCCCCACCTCCCCAAGTCAGGTGAAGGTGTGCTCCGTGCGGAATGCTGGCGCGAGGCCACCGCTTCTGGAGGGCACATGCGAAGGGGCGATGGATTCGGTGAGTGAAAGTGGTGAGTAAGCCACTGCAACCCATCATGGCGATTCATGGTTACAACTCGGTTATGGTTGGGAAACATTTCACATTTGTTGGCTTGTTGTGGTTTAGTGGAAAACCATCCCCACTTAACCTCACTTGCCCAAAGCCGACCTTTTGACCTTTTGGTTTTTCCTTGTTGGTCTAGTTTTAGTCATGGCCCCAAAAGGCGATCACCTTTTATTTCTGGGTCCGAACTGGGCAAGTGAGTAACTGCTAACATTCAAAAAAGGCTAACAAAATCAGCGTCCAAGATCAGTCTCAGCTCCGTGGATGTTGGGTTTAGGTAAGTTCGTAAGCCAAACGGTTGCAACCAAAGCCGTGAAAAAATGCTCCGCTCAGCGGGTTTAACCACTCAGTAGCTAACCTGCCCCTTTGAGTATACGATATGGCCCGGATCAGTGAGGAAGTCACCCAAAGATTCGAGTGGAAATCAATGGGTGAAAGTTGAAAAATTGGAAATAGGTGGAAGTTAGTGGAACTTAGGTGGAAATTGCCTGGTTAAGATGTTAGATTCAAAGGCTAAGTGTATGAACCCGTGTATTCCCTGCTTAATAAATGGGAACCATCCACATTTGGGCCCAAACACCCAGACAAATCGCCATATGCAAAATTTATGGGTTCATACCTTCAGCCTATGTTTGTACCTCAAATACAAACTATTCATGCGCGGAAATCAGTAGATCCCGGTTGAGAATTTGGTGGGCAAGCGGACATGTTGCTTTTGGTGTTCAAAGGGTGGTTCCCTTGCTTCCCTACCATACAGACAAATGGAATGGCTGGGAGCCTTGAAGTTGGGGGAGGCCTGGGGAAGACTAGTTTTCATGACATGGAAGGGGTGGTTCTGCGCTTGGCCAACCCCATCCCCCCAAAGACCCAAAGAAAACGGGGCCTTCCATGTTTCTACCCAAAGGTCCCGTTCGGCTCAGATCAAGGGCGGGAAGCTTCGCAGATCCCCGATCCCATGTTGCAAGCTTGCAGCCATACGTAGGACAAAATCCATTTCGCACCTCAGAACTGGAATGCTTCGATTCCCCAACGTAAGTACCAACAAACGTTCTGGTTTCAACCATGGCCTCAAAGTGGTGCGAAATGGATTTTGACCAACCATACAGTTGATTCAGAGTATCGGTTTCTCGGTGCCTCGCTGGCAGAACGGATGCGAAGTCCATGTCGCACCACGAAATGAAGCCATGGTGGCCTTTGCCTGATTTTCCATCTGACACCAAGAGCAAAATCAAGAAGGAGCCCTTTTTTGCAGGTCCTTGGAAGACCAAGGATTGCCTGTTGGTGTTTACCTTGGGGAAGCGACTCCTTCCGTTTCTTGAGAATTGCTGGTGTCTTGGAGCTCATTGAACACAAACTCTAGGTCCCCCAGTCGCCCCCTTTTACCCTTGTTTGGGGGAGGGTTCCCCTACTAAAATATACTACTGTAAAAAGTTGCTACCCTTATTCTAACCTCTTTACTGGAGGACCTAGAACTAAGTGTTCGAGCTGGATGTGTCAGCCCGAGAACTGGACCAAATGAAATGTGACTGAGTCAATGAGTCTCGATTGACTCATGGCCCGAGTTCCATTTCGGACTTGAAGCTTCGCTTTTTGTCCATGCACTTGTCCCCAAAAACCAGCAAACAGTGACTGAAAAAAGCAGCAACTTGGCTATCTAGGGGGTTGCTGTTTCTGGCCAATCCACCAGGAAGTGAGTTTAGGCGGATAGAATCCTGATCATTGCTCTAGCCATGATCATCTGGCCATGGCTGAAGAGCGCCACTACTGATAGCAATCGCTGAAGAACTCATTGCGGCAATACGCCTGCAATTCCTCCATTCCTGGCAACCCTGACCCGTGGATAAGGCTATGGGAGTTTTGCACCGGGTTTGGAGTCTTTTGCGCAAATTGAACGAGCACATGGGAGTCATGTGAGCGCAATAAGTGAGGTCCCCCAAGAGGGATTCAGATTCGATTTCCGGTTTGTCATGTCTTATAGTACTTTGGCCCAAATAGTCATATCTACTGACAAATTGCAGTATACACCGGGGCTTGAAAAGGGCTAAATGTTGAATGGGTTGCGTCAAACTAGGTGGGCCTTGTCAAATTCCCTGAGTTCCCGTACTTTTTGAGACCGGCATTCCGATCTCGAATCCGGTCTCAGCGAGCGCGAGTCGTGTCTCGCAGCTTCGTGGCCCAATCGGTGTCCGGTTCAACTTAGGTTTTTTAACCCACAAGTTATACGTCCTTTGAGTGGGTAACACCATGCTGGATCAATCATAATTTACCAGTGGAATCCATGTGGCCAAAGAGATATTTATCACTGGTGGTTATCAGGTGTTGTTTGGCTTGTGGCACAGAACTTTGACAACACGCAGCGCAAAGTCAAGGAACCAACGCCAAGCTCGCAGGTTCAGGTTGCTGTTCCGAATGAGCTCCCCCAGTTTCCTCTTGGGAACCAAAGGCGACCCGTTTCAGCCCAACCCACCCCTTCAACTCGCTCCGGGAAATCTACTGGACCCCTGTCCCACAGCAATATATTGGTGTACATATGTAGAATTGATGGCACTTTCTAGATATGCATATGCTTCCTCTTTTTTGGTTTTAGTTAAAATCCAAAAGGAGAACCGCCATTTCGGAGTTTCCCCTCATGCGGACTTATGCATGTATACTAACAGATCCTTTGAACGCATCCTGTCAAGAAATACAGGCAAGCGGCAAGATACATGACATGCCCGGGGATACCAGGGCTGGCTGTGGCCCAAACCCCTCGAAACCCGCGCTGCCATCTTCCGCGGCGATGATGCCATGGAAGGCGACAGGCGCGGCTTGCAGATTGACCGACTTTTCTCCTGCCACTACCTCTTAAAAACACAACTTTTCAACTTTTTGGGTAACATGGGCTATATGTCTGTAAAAGATTAACTTTGCCAGGGCTTGGAGTTTTAAGGGGCAAGTTCCACTTGCTTAAGAATTTGATATGTCCACTGGTGTTAAAGGGCATCTATCACCACTGGAAGTATGTTCATTCCCGGATGCGCGGCGAAGGGTTCCCGGCGTGCAAGGTGGTCTGTGGGTAAGGACGTGTTTGCGAGACTTGTCGGCGTGTTCGCAAGCATCCGCCATGTCGTTGGGGTTCCTGCGAAACACCACGTTTCAATGAATCCTGAAGTGCTGTCTTCGTGGCGCCCAGCGCGTGAATCGTGTCTTTTGCAGCGTTGCATGTCCGAGGGCGGAAAAGCACCATACAATCACTGGCCTTTTTTCCGCAATGGGCGGCCCGCGCCCACCCTTACCAAGCCCAACGTCAATCAACATCTGGACGGCTGAAAGTACACACAAAATGTGACAAATATACACTTATTCCTGTCCGGCTTGGCGGAACTAATTGCCTAAATTGCGCTCTTTGAGGTTTGCCTGGGCCCTGCTCCATGTTTTTCCCATTCGAGGACCCACGCGACCCATGGCGATTCAAGCGGCCACAACCCTTCCAAGTCGGCTCCCATTGCAAGTTGCCATCCGCCAGGCACGCTGAAAGACACCGAGATGTGTTGCGTGTTTTTTTGTCAGATTCCGCGAAGGCATCTCGATTTCAAGGGATCCAAAGGCCCTCCGGTTGTCCCTTTGCTACTGTGCACTCAGGCTGTTGGAGGACTCGTTTCCGGAGGGATGGGATGCCCAAAACGCTGGGTCTCTTGTTGGGTGCACCGGCCACGAGTCGAGCTCAAAGATGCTATTGGGGCTTCAGACATTCCCATGGCAGCGCCGGTCTTTGTTTGGCCATGGCTCATGTAGCATGGTTGTTGTCTTGTGGGATGTCGGGTTTCCTTCATGATCCTTTTGAACCAGCAAAAAGTTATGTAGCCCCCAACTCCAATTCCCACTTTTCAGGCTAGTTGGTTGAAAACCTGGTTGCAGTAGGGGCTATCACATTGTGCAGGTCGGACTTTCTTGGCCAAGATCCCATCTGACAAACTCCGTTTGTTTCGTGCCAAACATATCCCCCGAAAGGCAGTTTTCTTAAATCCTACCTGTTTCATGGGTACAGCCTGGGCCTTGGTGTGTTTGATTTTTGAGGATATTCAGGAAACCCATGGTCCAATGCTCTGTGCTATATGGATTGGCCGACCCACGCAGGCCTGCACCGTTCATGGTCAAGCGGAGCGGCTGGGCTCAGGCGGGGGCAAACCGGGTTGGGTTCATGTGTGGTGTGCTCCCTACTCCAAATACCCTCGTTGCTCAGGGTATCATGTCGACCCTCTACTGTAAAAGGAGGTATTCACCATGGAAAACCAAAGTTTCCCAAAAATACCCTGAACATAGCGGGTATTGGGAGTAGGGGGTGTCTTAAGGTTGCGCCCCACGAATTGAGGCTTGCCTCTTGGTTTCCCTAAACCACAAAAAGGCAGGTGCCCTCAGAAAAAGGACACGCCCATATGACTATGATTTTTGAAGAGTTGGAACCGCCTCGCAAAGTGCATGCAAAGTGGATGGCCATGAAAACCCATCGATCTCTGACGCTACCCTAAGATGCACAGGCATATAGGCACAGGGTAGGAATACGGGGGACCTCCAAAGCTTGCCGTTTCCCTTTTGGTTATCCTTTACACCAATCCTAAAAAACACACATTTGAGCAGGCGACCATATGTCTTGATACCCTACTGTTGGGACCTGGGGCAACAATCACAACATATCCTAGTGGCCATGTTTGTAGGTTCTACCAGCTGGTGCAAGAGGGTAGTAAAGCCTACCCCCGTAACCTCGAAACACTGCGTGCTTGAATTGGTATGCTTTGTCAACGCTCTAAAAAGGGGATTGGCATTTACCCTGGAAACCGATCGGTTCTCCAAAGATCACACTGAAGAATGGTATTTGGAGTAGGGGGTATGCAAGCATTAACCATGTTGATAGAAACCCGAAGTCCGCCCCCTC